GAGACAGATATATACATTGCCATTTTGCTGCATTTCAATAGTTCAAAGATGTATTTTTTTTTAAATCAGCCCTGGGCCTTTTTTACTTAAATTTGAAGCCCCACATACATCGGACTAGTAGCATTATAGCTAGAATTTGATAAGGAAATTAATGTTATACCCTTCCTTCTAATATTTTACTAACTCTATAATAATTTAATTCTTCAGTATGTTTCGTATTGCAGCATTATTTGGACTACTGTATTACCTTTAATTTGGATCTACACAAAATATTGATAGATTATTTAAACTCCAAAAAAAGGCTTTAGGAATTTGTGCTGTACCTCTTTTATATTCCATAGTAAACCCTTGTTTACGTCACTCTGTCATTCTCTAAATTATGGATTAATTTATTATCTCTTACTAACATCTACTGCTAGCTCATATATTTTTACTACTTTAAATTATTAGTAAGTGTTTACCTATTTAGATTTAATATTTTTACACTACATTTTCTTCATCATAATTTGTATAATTGTATTATTATGTTGTTACTATATAATATTACAATTAAACATTTCAATGTGGAAAAAAGGTTCCTGTCAATTAACGGACTGTTAAATAATACCTTTATTGTATTCTTTTGCAAGACACTTAAATGAACATCAAACGTTTTTGTCAATATAGTCATTACACCGTAATGTTTTTAAAAGTCAATACCTTGAAGCAACCCGTATTTTCTTTCTCATCAAATATAGCAAGCCAACCACAGAACGGAACGATGCTTTATGACTAGGGCTCTTTATGGGGATTGGGAGTGCAATAACCACCGAGCTATAAAATTAAACATACCATTCTAGAAAACATCTCAAAGGTGATCATCACAATGCTCCAAACGGTGCCCAGATGTAAGTATTCATTGTAGATTCAGTATTTCTATTTGGTTTACATCTTTAATTTCTTTGTTTTTGTTACTTTATTAATCAATCAAGATAATGATAAAAGTAAAAGTAAAGGTAGTCAAGTATTCATTTTTGAACGTAGAGGAATGAGCAGTAAGCCATGGTACTTATCCTCGGTATTGTATGGTAGTTAAGATACGGTACAGAGAATATGAGAAATACTGAATTACACATAAGATCAACATCAATACAAGGGCATAAAATAAATACTACAGTATAGACTATAATTTTCTGAACATTACCAAACATCATAATGATAAAGACTACGGCTTGGGGATTTAAACGCACAGCTCCAGGCAATTTTGTCCTGTCTTTGGTGTCATGTTTTTAAAAATGTTTAGGCCAAAGCCTAATGTTTTTATGATTCGTGTTTAGCATTAAATATGCTTACGTATTTTACACCATAATATCAAATGCATAAGTAACTTTAATTCTAAACACGTCACCAAAAATAGGACACCATTGTGTTGACTTTTGCGTTTAAATCTCCACGCTGTTTTTAGAGTGTAAAAAGGAGAATGATTTTAACGTCGATGGTTAAAGCACGGAACAGTGAAATTGTTCACTGTTTCTTTGTTCCCTGGTTAAAGAGTGTATGAGTAATATCGCTGTAATAAGCATGGTAACAAAAAAGCAGATAAAATCTTAAGATCGATGGACACAGATGTAAAATCACAATCAAAAACGTATTTACTTAACCATATGCCTGCACCAAAGACTGTTTAGAAGTAATAAGCTTTATAATGATGGTTTGTTTTAACGATGTTATTCATTATGTGCATTTTTATATATTACGGTATGTGTAATGTTCTAACAAGAAAAAGAAAGTATAGTAAATCAAGTGAAAGAAGTAGAGCAGATTTGAATAACATAAGGCATAGGATACTATTGTCTATACGATTACCAACACCTTATTCTTACTGGTTTCACCGGTAACTTCATAGTATGGTTTAGTAATCTTACGAGCTATAAAAAAACTAAAATAGAGAGCATTGTGAAGATTGCTTGTAGAATCATTAAATGCAATGTCTACCACCTGGAAGAACTCCACAGAAAACTAGTCTGAATGTAATTATAAATAATATATCGTACCACCAACTCATATATAATTATAAATAGAAGTGGCCGAATTAGAACACTTAGAAGCAATACAAAATTAATAGAACAATGCATTATTTTATTCATAATGCTAACCACATACGACTTTGAATTCCAAAGACAATTTTAATGAAATGTTTGTGCGAATTTTTAAAATGGTGTCAGAAAGCTCTGGTTGTTTTTTTTTTTTTTTTTTTTTTTTATGGCTGTTTTACTTTTCAGCTAATGCTTATCAAATTTGTACCTCTACCGTGATCCTGCAATTGTTTCTTCCTGCTTTGTAATTGTTCCTCAGTATCTTGCATTTTAATC